AAAAAAAAAAAAAAAAACTTGTTCTGTCATTGAAATTACCTTTTTTTGTTGTTGTTGTCATTGTTGTCCTCTTGCACATTTTTTGCACTACACTTCACATAGGACATTTTAATTAGAGTTTTTATTACACTTATTGTACATTTTGCATTTCAGATTTTCTTTTTGTTTATTTTTGCTTTTTTATCTGTATTTATGGTGGTGGTGACTTTACTCTTTTTGCTGTAATAACCACATTTCTATTCTATTCTATAATCAATTTTTTCCCCATTTTCTTTTGGGCAAAAAGGTTCTATAAACAAGACATAAGTAACATATTAACCAGCCCGTCTTTAAACACCTTTAGAATATAGACAGGAATTAAACTGGAAAGTTTAGCAAATGTAAAAGCCACTGAACTGGAGATGTCTAGCTCAGACTGAGTTTTTAGTCTTTAAAATATGTTTAATACTTAAAATCTACAGACAGAAGTTCACCTGAAGGTGTATTTTGGATGTTTTTTTCTTTATTTGTTTTGCTCCAAATATCCCAAAATCTCAAAACTGACCGTATAGTGTTCAGTTTTAGTCTGTGGTGTTGCCTCAGAAACACATATTTAATTCAAAGACTGTCTGTAGACTCTATGATTCATATCTAAATCCATTCATTATTAAAAAATAAATTACACAAAAATTAAATTAAACTGCATAAACATATTTTGAAACCAAACAATGCAACAACTACAAGCAGATGACAGAAAATCTTAGAATTTTTATCCTACCAAGTCAGTGTTCATCATGATAAAGTTCATTTTTAGATAATCAGCTGAAAAACTGTTTAAGTGATAAAATAATCAAACAGGAATCATTACTGATGCCAAATCATGTGAGAATTCATCATGGACATCTGGGAAAGCCTTCGGAACATAGAAGGAATAAAACGGGACAGTTTGGTGCATGTTGGTGCTGCTGAAGTGGCAAAATTATACGAGACTGTCGACATTATCAATAAAAAAAATCCAATATTCACATTAATGGCTCTCATTGAATAGCAGGATTTTCCACAATCATCTCATACACCCACAGATATTTAAATGATCCTGATTCGTGTGTTACATATAGATATACATGTGTTCCCAGATGTTCAGCATCTGCTCACCAGACTTCCCTGCGGACGTGTTTTTTTCTTCATGAACACGTTTCTTGACCCCACAGGGCCTCACATTGACACCACGTTTGTCCTACTAAAGCATCGCGTCTAGTACGCTGCGTTCTTCTTTAATCTTCAGGTGTTTTCTTGCAGCGTGTTTCTATTTTTAAAGCCTCACAGGCGCCGGTGAAGCCCTGCTGATTAAACATGTAGTCGGGTGGAAGATCAGTCCAGCTCCTCCGGGAATCAACACGCCGCCAACAAACTCTGGTACGGATCACAACGGTGCATCAAAAGCAACGGGGTGAGGGAAGAAAGTACCAAAGTTCTGCTTGGAGGCCTGATGTGTGGGTGAAATAACGAGGATGTGTTTGGTGTTGGAGGTGATGAGGTGCAGGCAAAAGCTTAAAATCACCAAAACCAGCCAATCAGCTCCAACCTGAGCTCCTCAGAATCAGCTGATTTATTACATGGAACAACTTTAGTGAGTTAAATGAAGTCATTAAAAGTTTACCTTCCTACTATGAATGTTCTCAGAGTTACAGACCCTTCAAGAGTGGAGCGCTTTCTGATTTGTGATACCTTTCCACCATTTTTAACCCTATAACTTCATCAGTTCAACAGATGAACACATTCAATTTTCAGGTCTGAGTTCTGTTAAAAAACTGCAACCAAATCAACTTCACATCCATCCAGGTGTCACAATCTAAAGACTAAATCTCATTTTGGTTCATTTTCTTTTCTTCTAACCAACTTTGAGCATCATTATTATGGGATATGTTAAAGTTTCAACTCCCAAACTGCAGCAGTTTAATGTTCATAATAACAATCACTGGTACTCTGGATTCACTGGGGGAAAAAAAGTTAAAAAGTGCATTCTGGGTAAACTTTCAAGGCCCATGTGTGATGGTGGTTAGTCAGAACTAGTTCTAGACAATGAAAGGATCATTTTTACCTATGTTTGACACCAGGATCATCTTCTAGACACGATTCCGTCCACATCTGAATAATTCCCTAATATAGTTTGGACATTTGCAAAATGTTAAATTTCAGATTATGTTTACTGAAGTATTCAAAGCTGAGATAATTCCTGCGTTATAATTTTCTGTCCCATAGGAAAGACAGGAGTTGGACACCAAGGTTACACATCATCATTGTTGAGGACAGAACCAGAACTGAACACTATCAGAGGAGAATATGAGACTCTCGAACAAGCTCTGACTGCTGCAGACTGGTTTGATCGATGGCATTGATCCAATCGGTTATAATAAAACAAACGTGAACACCAAAGTTCTGTCATTTCAAAAGATTCAAAATTCTGTATTTTGCAAGTGTTAAAACATGATCCTGGTGTCAAATGGAGGGAAAAATGATCCTTTCATTGTCTAGAACTGGTTCTGACCAACCACCATCACACATGCTGACATAAAAGTTTACCCAGAATGCACTTGTTAAAGTTTTCTCTGGTGACTTATCAGAAACCAGAAACACATCCAGGGTACTGATGATTGTTTCTGTGACTGTGTGTCATTAAACTGCTGCAGTTTGACTGTTTGAACTATGATGCATCCCATAATGTTGATGCTTGAAGCTGGTTATAAAAAAAACAAAAACAAAATTTGTCTTTCGAAAACTGTGACAAATCAGTTTCTCAAATCAATAATATAATATATTGTTCTGTTTGACCCAAAACATTGAATGCATTCCGATGGAAGATGCTTCAGATTGAGTGATGAGTATAAAAGTGATTTGTTTGCAGTTTTTAACAGAACTCAGCTCTGAAACGTTCACGTCTTTATTTCTTGTTCTTATGAAGTTCTGAAGCTCAAAAACGATGGAAAAGTAAAATAAAAAGTCTAACATTTGGACCCACCTCAAGGATCTATAACTCTGTAGATATTCTCAGTATAACGGTTAAATATTCTGACATTATTGCACATGAAAACCAGCCGGTTCTGAGGCGGTCCGGTTCTGAGGAGGTCCGGTTGGAGGCCACCGGTTGGTTTCTCATTGAAATGACGCTCGTCTGAAAGAACGACGCCAAAACGTGGCAGAGATAAACTCATGGAGATTTAATATTATGCATCAATAAACAGGAGAATCGGATACAATCAATGGTTATGATGAGAAGGAAATAAAAAATACATTTGTTTTGGATTGCTCTCTATCAGGCAACACCGAGCGATGCTGAAATGAATGGCAAGGCCTCTATTCAACAGAACGAACAAAGACAGGACACGGAGGGGAAACACAAAGTGATCGCTTCCAATTCAGTCCAGGACTCTCGCTTTGGGGTTGGCTTATGTCGAAAAGGCATTTATTTATTTTTGTCTGATTTGATTTCAAAGAGGATTAAATCAACGGGAACCTTTAAACTTCACTGGATTTGTGAAACAGCACCAGAAATAACTTCATAGATCCCTTCACCAGATCAACTGACTTAAAAAAAACAAAAACTAATCAGCTTGTTTAACCAAATATGCGGAAAATAAAAAAAAAGAATAAATCAAACCTTAACCACACAAAGGTACCAGGAGGAGGCTGCTATGGGCTTTGCTACAGAAGGTGAAAATGATTTTTTATTTCTCCGTCTCATCCAATTGCATTTGATCCAACGTGTGCAGCTTGTAAATCAAGAAGATGAACGATAGCAGAGGTGTACAGCGGGGTCAATATCGCCCTCTATGTGGTTCTTAATCTTGAAAAAAAAAAAAAAATATCGGACAAACAAAAGAAGAACAACATCACGAGACGGCGGTGGCGGCGTTTCGGACTCTGCTTCCTCGGGTTTCGCTCTTTTGTACGACACGAACGTCGGGAGACTGGACTCAGCCTCGCGTCCTGGTCGCGGACCGGCTGTCCGAGAAAGACAAGAATATGTAAACAATCATTTGTTCATAAATGCCTTCAGCGAAACCTTTGCAGAGGACCGTTGGTTCTCCGTCCAGATCAAAGTCCCTTTAGCCTTTTCTCTAAACCGTTTTTTTTTTTGGCATCACGGACATCCAAACTCTGTCCTTTTTGCAGGCATTTGTAAAGTATTTCTATCTGTATTGCATATATTCCTTAAATCTACCACGACTCCTCCAAATCAGCGTGTTTAGATGCTATGGCTTTATGCAGGGCTTTGCGTCTGGATGACACTCGAAACGCACAACAGTGTAAATGACCCAATAGGTGGCAAAAAAATAAAAACAAAAAATGGGAACAAAAAAAAGGCTAAATGGAATGATTCCTAAAGATGTAAAGCCATCAAAGTTCATATTCTCAAATATTTTACACTATTGCCAGAAAGGAAAATAAACAAAAAGAGCATTGAAAATAAAAAAAGAATATATATTTATATATCCATCATATGTATATCTATATATAAACAACAGTTATAACTAGTTGCAGGCAAGCAGAGAGGTTCTCTCCGGCCCCTTTAAGATTCATCCGTCCCACCGTTATAAGGCTGTCAGACTCTGGGAGGGGGCAGCAGCTTTCTTTCCTCAGTCACCAGATTCCCTGAGATGTAGAGCGCTGTTCTATCCGTCGACTCGAACCCAACACCAATCGACCACGCGCGCCTCTCGCCCCCCTCCCTCGAAATAAAAAAAAACAACAAAACCACGTATGTAGGGAAGTGAGTGCTGCTCCGGCTCGTCCCCGCGGAGCTCGCTCACGTCGCTAACGGGCGGCGGAGAGACTCGTCGACTCTGCGCTGCGCTGCCGAGTCTCGTGTTGGCAGGTGGCGGGTGTTTCGGTGGCGGTGGAATAAGGAGAGGAGCTTTACTAATACTCATGTTACATCTTTGATGCTTTTCATTCATTTTCCATATTGTTTTACAGTCAAATGCAAAGCAGTGTACATATTCAATCATCAGTCATTCCAAGGCTTGGATAAGAAGTGGTTTCTTTTTGCAAAAGAGTTCTTATGAAGACTCTGTTGTGTCGGTGTGCATTTCTTTATGCATATGTATGTGTGTTTGTCGGAGCGGCGCCGGCTCTCCTCAGTGCCTCGGGGACACTAATCTCTTTAGTAGCGGCTCGTCGTAGACCCAACACTCGCCGTCCTCGTGGAACAGCTGCAGAAACACAAACAGCAGGAGTCAGTTATACAGACAACAGAGTTAGAACTTAACCTGGAATAAAACGACAACATTTCTGATCCTTATCTGTCTGCTAGTGGAAAGAAAAACTTCAAAACAACAATGATTTGGACTGAATATGATCTGTTAACCCTCAAAACCTTCCTGCAGGTTTAAAAAGCATGTTATCTGAAAGAAATCTCAAAAATTACAGCGTTCATCAGAGCCAGAAATGACAAAAACAAGAAGAATCACCTGGTTTTTAACTTTCCAGCAGTCCTTGAACTAGTCATCTATGATTTTCCATTTTTGTTTGGAAAAATAACTGAAATAAAACCCGAAAAACAGGATTTTAAAATCAAAATCATTATATTCTATATGTAATTTAAAAATTCGCCAAAAATAAAATGCGTGCACAAACCAGATTCTGCAAAATATTTGTAAAAAATGCTGTGAAGTCCTTCCTGACTCTGACCAACAGTATCATGAACACCTGAGGCCACCTGTTGCGGATTCCAGGGTTTAACTTTGTTTTGTAAAATAAATAATCAAAGAAATTCTTCCATTTTTTTAATGACCTGTTAGAGTATAACGAAGTATTACTGCACTAAAGACACTTCTGAGTTCTCTACTTCTAGCCATGGATGTTCTATTGCAGTGAGAAACGAACTCACAGCGAGTAAAACTGTGACATGAGCAGCTCAGAGGGTTTCATCTATTTCCTTTCCTCTTGTATCAGTTTTGGTCATGTGACATCCATTAAATGAGCATAGACACTGATCTATAGCTGGAGAACTGTTTGTTCAGTATTTTATGATGCTGATGTTGTTTCTGGAAGCAGAGCGCCTCACCCTGGTCTCCCACTGCTGCTCGTTCTCCTTCCTCTCTCTGGCTTCGGCTCTTTGTTTCTCCTCCAACCGGTGTTTGGCTTCTGTCGCTGCATCGATGTCCTTCAGCTTCAGGTTCAGAGTCACATCTCTCCATAGTCTGGAGGAGTCAAGGCGTCAAAGTCAAGTTTAACTGATTAAAGAGTTTCTGGATCCTCAGACCTTTAATACACAACAAGGTTAGAAGCTGACGATGACTTCTCACCTCCGGGACTCGTACTCCAGCTGGTCCTCCAGCTTCCTGACCTTCTTCTTAATGCAGCCCATCCTCTTAGTGTCTATGAACACCGTGTTCTCCTGCAAACACAAAACCCATTCATTCAGAGCGCTGGCTTTGTGCTTTAGCCCACAAATGATTCGTTTTTCTAATTAAACATAAAGAAAGCAGGAACGAAGGACTCACTCCAGTCGCCCACTTGGCGTACATCACTCCGTTCCATTCTCCTTCGATGGAGCAGAAAGACCTCCTGTCGTTAGGTGCACTGCAAGAGGAACACGAAGAAATGTGGTTGTATTTATTATATTCTGCATAAAAGTCCCAAAAACCCTCCAACAGGTTTGACAGGAATGTTATAATAAACGCCAAAACAATTAATCTGGGCCAGAAACTATAAAAACAGAAATAAATCAGATTTTCAGTCAAAAAAAAAAAAGATAGAAATCACATTATTCTATTCATCTTGTTTAAAAATCTGCCAAAAATAATCAGTTTGCAACCAACAGATTCTGAAAAAAACTAAAAATTCTGCGCTCCTCGGTGCCAAAGTGAAGCTGTTCATAATTCAGCTGTGACCAACAGTAAGGTGGCAAAAATTCAGGAAGTTCTCGGCTGAACTGCAGTCGGTGTAGTACGGAGACAAACTAAAAACCTACATTAACTGCAGCACGTAGAGCCACCAGTTTATTTCCAGTATTGGTGACACTTGTGGACACGTGGAGATATCAAACATACAGATTTCTATTTCTGGCATTCTAACTGTGTCATAGAACATTCCTCAGCTCTCTTTGTGCCGTTTAATGGAGGTGCAGGACTTTCTATTAAAGAAGCCGACTGGGGGTTCAAACAGTTAAACTGTACGTTCAGGTTCTTACAAAATCTCGGCGGTGATCCTGTGCTTCTTCCCGCCGTAGAAGGGTTTGGTGTGGAACACGATGTTGGCGCTGTAGCCCGACTTGGAGCAGGAGATGTTGCATTCGCCGCCCAGCTCCACCCACGGCACCGTCAGAATCGACCTGCGCACAGGATCATCATATCGGTGACGTAAACGGCAGCGACTCAGCGACCAAACGGACAAAAACCAGACGGACACCTACCTGCCGTATCCGTTGGGGAAGGTGAGAATGTAATGCTCGTCGTACTCCAAACACGATACGCAGCCTGGAAAAGACCAGAAACACTGATTATAGCTCCATGAAGGTGGAGGACAGAGAATAAAAACGCACAGCTGGGAGTGTGGCGTACCTTGGCCGATGTTGTGGACTCCTATGGACATGCCGAGGAACTTCGACTTGGTCCAGATGTGAGCGTTGAACTGGATCTTTCTACTTAAACACTCTGCGTAGAATGCAGAAACTGGAGGGAGAAGAGAGGAAACAGTGAACGCCGGAACACATGATAGGAAAAGAAAACGAAGCAGACAAGACTTTTCTAGCAAATCAAACTGTTTTTTAAAGGTCTAGACACCCTGATCCAACATCAGACCTGGTCTATAAGTATTTTGGCCTCTTAATTCTCTGAACCTCGAGCAGTTTCTCGTTGTTTTTTGCTGCTGCTGTCACATTTTTCCTCCCTCTGAGCTCATTTTTCTCTGCAATATAAAATCCTGCACCTCTATGGAAGCAGCACAACCAGGACTAGAAGCAGAGAGAACTTCAATAAATCATAAAAACATTTTTTTCTTATTTATTGTACAAAAATTGCCAAAACCTGAATTTAAAATGTGCAGTAATTCTCCAATTGACCACAGGTGTTACTAAAGAAACACAGCGGCTCTACATGTTTTAGATATTTTACAGTTTGTGATTTATTCCTCCACTTGTTCTCCATCTGTTCTGTGTGAACACGGCCTGCAGTTCAGCCGAGAAGCGTCAGGACTTCTGTTACGTTAATGTTGGTTGCAGCAGAGCTTTTATTGTTAGAAGAAACACAGAATTTTATTTTATTTTTTTTACATAATTGTATTAAACTGTTTAATTTAAGTGATTAAAAAAAAGAGAGACGTAGAATAAAGTGATTTGGTGTAAATATGATTTTAAGCTTAACTTTCCTGATATAATGTGATTGAACACATGATGAGTTCAAGGACGGTCGTAAAGTTAAAAATGATTCTTTCTGTTTTTACAATTTCTGTTTCTGATAAAATTGCAATTTGGGTGATCTTTTTTAAAAAAAAAAAAAGACAAGATGGTTCTGATGGTTTTGGGGTTCTGAGGGTTAACTAACTTCACGAGGAGTTATCTAAAAATCAGAACCACAGTTTTCTGGTTTCAAAGGTTTTCCGTTAGCGTTGCGTAACCAGTCAGAAGGAGGAGGTTTGGCACTTACTGGGTGGGTGGTGAGAGACCTGCTCTGCCACAAAACACACACTGTTAGATGAAGACCAGGGAACTGGACCATCTGATACCGTCTCCTGGAGGCAACGACAAGAAGGAGAAGGATTGAGGATAGACAAAACCAGGATACGATAGAAAAACACGCTGATTTGTGACCGTAGACGAAATGAAAGCTGTGAAAAAACAACCAGTTCTGACACTATTCTTGTAATTTGTTTGCATAACCACATACAACATAGAGTGTTTTCATGCCGACAATTAGCTTAAATGTCGACAAACTTTATTATTAAAGAAATAAAGGACCTTTTTTTTGCTATTGAAATGCACAAACTAAACAAGAGCTCCAGCAGGGATGTGCAAAAGCTTTGTTTTGTGAATGTTAACTCAATAATAATACAATTCTACATTAAAACAGGCCCAGAAGTTTATTAAAAAGTCCACATTATGCTTCTTTTTGCAGGTTTTTCCTTAACTCTAGTGTGCTGTATAGTTTTTTGTGCACATAAAGGTCAGCTAAAGCCCAAAACTCTGCTCCTGAACTGCCTGAATCGCCTCGTTTGACGTCCAGGTTTTTACTTTTCTGTGTCACAATACAACACGGTTGCGTAATTTCTGCCAAGTGGCTTTTTTTTTTCTGGCACAAAGACTGAGCAGCTGCCTCACATTCTGTCACTATTTCCTTGCTAGAGCTGCTTCTGCTACATTCCTGTGCTTGGAAATCTGCGGCTAAGAGACATGACCGGCGTTGCTTTGTTGTTGTTTTCCAGCTAACCGATGCAACTGGGGTTTATCGGAGGAGGGCCTTATCAGAGTCTCCTAGGCCCCAGAAGTAAAACTATAAACCTGTAACTGTTTAAATATGGGCTCTAGTGGTGGATTCTGGCCTCACCGTATGTGGAGACGGTTCCTCTGCCTCGCTGGGAAGATCCCAGTGGCAGTAGAAGACTTCGCCCAGGATGGGGTTGTAAGGTTTCTTGGCCACCGAGCCTTTCCTCCCCGCATGGAAAGCCGACAGGTACCACTTCACCACCTGAACCATGCGCTCGCGGGCCTCCGGCTGCTCAGCGATGCTAATGGAAGTCACAGGAACCAGCGTTGAGCGTTTACAGTTCTCGAGCATTCGGACGAAGTTAAAAAAAAAAGAAGGTAGAATCGGTACGTACGTTACGAACAAGTCGGGATGCGCAAAGAAGTCGGCGTACATTTCTAACAAAGACCTCCGCTCTAGGATGAAGGTAGGCAGCACCACCTGTGAGAGAGAGGCAACATTGGTAGGTTGTTCAGAAGGTCACATGTCAGAAAGCAAAATGAGGAGGAACGTCAGAGAGACGGCGAGGTCTTTACCTTGGTGAGGTCCATGCCCAGACGCACTTGAGAGAGCAGATGCATGATGACGCTCTTGTGCTCTTCCACTGACTCGCCCTCGCCTTCGTCGTCGCGGTCATCGTGGCTGTCGAACGGATCTGAGGACGGCAGCAGAGCAGAGCAGTCATGAAGCTGGAAGCACAGGCGGCTCACTGCTTTCTCATGTGTTCAATAAAACTCATCTTTTATCAGGATTAACTGAAATGTGATTAAATTTCTCCGGTGTAGCAGAAGGATGAGATCAGAATGACTTTCACATCCAGAAATGTGGACATAACAACAAACTGAACAGTTGTAAAACCTAAACTTACAGACAACCGACATCACTGGAGGGATGACGCAAACTCTGGACTCTCGATCGATTCTGGCACTACGCTAAGCCTGGCACTCTGTTTACATCTCTTTTCATGCAAGAACTGTGACGCAAAAGCAGCACAAACAGCCATCAGATGCTCTACTAGCTGTAAAACCACTGTCCTATTTCAACAGAGCTTCATTTAGCACTTGTTTGCTGACCTGAAATCAGTACGTCTCTGTCACGTTGCTTCTTTACGAGCTAAACTCACACAAAGCTCTCTGCTTGCCAACACGAGGCTGCCTAAAGCTAATCCACAAAACCTGAAGTGTGCATCAAATCGTTTTAAAACCTAAACTTAAGAAAACTGGATTGATGACGTATGACGTGGACTCAATAATGTGAGACATAAAATTATTAGTGACATAAAACGTCACGTCAGAGTCAGAATCCAAGGCTGTCGGGATGTTAAGGCTGTTTTTTATGGGTCCTGTTTGTTTTTCCTAAAAAACTGTCGGATCGCAGGTTTCGGATCGAGTCTTAGTGTTATTTCAAGTAATGTACGAGATAAAAATATCGTGTTTGGTTTCATTTAATCACTGACTTGTTGGGTCAAAAGCTTAGTTACAAGTTCGTCAGGTTAATTTCCATAATTAATAATATCACAGCAGGTTGTCAGGATCAATATTTAAAGTAGGAAGCTTAAGCTCTGTAATTAAAATCTGAATTTGTGATTCTAAGACTGATCAATATAATTAAAATTCAATCTGATATCTTCATAATTAGGCTTTATCTAGTATCTGAGTGGCGCCCTGGCTGAATGAGTGCAGTTTTAATCTTACAGTGTAATTAAGTCACTTCCTGTACGTTACTTCAGCAGATCATAGTCCGAGTGGAGTGTTCAAAGCCGTGATGTGTTTGCGTACATTTTCCTTTTGTACCTGCGTCTGTGGTGCCGTTGGACATGGACGAGTTGAGCGACTCGGTGGTGTCGGGTCTTTTCAACGCCGTTTCTTCATTAGTGAGCGGCGATGCAGCAGGAGGCCCTGAGGGACTGGAGGAGGAGGAGGAGGAGGAGGTGAAAGAAAAGGAGGCAGGAGAGATAAAATGATAAACTGAAAATTCACAGGCAGCCGAAGCCTCTTACGCAACTTGATTTTCATTCTCTCCGAGCAGCCTTTTCCCACCCGAGCTGCTAAACTCGATAATGACAGAGCTGCTTTCAAGCTATACAACAATAGATTTACTGCATGCAGCGCCGGCCTCAGGGAGGCGGCGGAGGAGCTGGAGGAGGAAGAGGAGGAGGTGGGGGGTATACTGTACTCACTCTATGCAGTGTTTCGGGGAAGTGCTGCTCTGGTAAAACTCGTCAGCGTCATAGAACTCGTCCTCGCTGGAGGAATAGGAGAAGTCTGGCACCGAGTGCGAGGGGAGGGGGATGTGAGCCGGGGAGGCGACGCCGCTGCTGGGGCCCGACGGACCGCTCCCTGCCAACACAAGGAAATCAAACATCACGTGTCTGCGTCGTCTCTTTAATGTGATTCATCTCATAAATCAGGCTTCCGTGATCAGATCAAACCGGCGGCATGTGTGCTGCCCTTTTCTCGGACTGCGCTCCAGGAGCCCGGCGCTCCTTTAACGCTGGTTCTCTGCAGAGCGTATTGACAGCACTCTGGAGCAGCAGCCGGCCGCCTTATTGCACAGCGCAGCGTTTTAATAGTGCTGCCTCAGCACACAAGACAAACGGGCGGCAACCTCTGCTTTCCTTCGCCGCTGTACTTGGCTCTTTAATTCACTTTGCGCTCATTGACACAGGCGCACAACAATAGTTAATAATATTACTGCTTTCTCTCAAGTGGCTGGCTCCTGATTACATTAGCAGTCCTGTTGCTGAAGCGTCTAACTATAACATCATAATATTCTGCAGAGGACCAGCAATGTTCTCCCTCTAAAAATAAAGTCCCCCCCCCGTGCCATGCAGCTTGTAACACAACAAGACTAAATAAAGTTTTTTAAAACAGCAGCTGATCTAACAATCTCTCTTCTGTCCGCTAATGAAGATTATGTGATAAAAATGTTGTTTTTCAAGCTCGAGAATCAACTTCAAACCTGCAGATTCTTTGTCCACTTGGGGGCAGTGGAACAAGCACCAAGCACAGTTTTCATATCATGCTCTTTGTTTTTACGCTTTTTCGTTCACACATGCAGCAGCTACTGAGCAAATGGGGTCCCAGAGGGAAATAAGTGGCTGTTAGCGGCTCTGTTCACCAGCTAGTGGCTCACTGTGCCCATCTGCTGCTGAGAAGGTAGAGCATTGAGCTTGTCCAGTGAAAACAGCTGTCTGTGCAGGACAAAATGACACTGCATGAGCAGAACCAGGACTGTAAATCTGCAAATTGGACCAGTGAGGGGAAAAAAAAAACGAGCCGAAGCTCACTGTGACGCTCCATAAAGCCACGCTAAGCTGCAGATTCAGCTGATGGTGTCCTGCAGGTTCATCACTATGACAAAAAAAACCTTTCACATGTGGTTTTGCATAATAATTTTCTACATTTTTGCCATAATTTATCGCTTTAAGCTGCTTCAAACCTCAACTTATTAAAAAAAATGTGATGAAAATACAAAGAAAATACAAAAATACACTTTAAAATTGCAAAAAAACAAACTTGCCATAAGGGGTCCAGAGAATCGTTGCATTCGTTGGGTTTTTATGTAAATTTTTGCAAAACCTAAGTTGTAAAGTACTCAGGTTAACCTCCATAACTATTAATAACATAGGATCATAGCTTTAACATTCATTATAGTCAAGTAAAGTTGCATTTCAGGAGATTTTTGTGCAGTTTTAATCCAAAATATAGACATTACTCAGGTAATTTTACACCGTAAACAACAGCATTTGTGGCTGATATCATGTGTCTGTGGACTAAAACAGTAATATCAACATACAATATTCATTTTTTCTGGTGCAATATCTAAATGTTTGTGCAACATTTCATTATGATGTGTGATATTACTTATCACCTGAGTATCACTGCAGGTATTACTTTGTGTATTCTAGTCTTATTTTAGCTCACTTATTGTTATTTTCAGTAATATATCGTACTGCATTTCATCTTAACGTTAGATTTTTCTACTAGAAAGCAGTCTGATGCTTTTGTTTTAAATGTGTTTTATTAATCAACAGCGACTCGACTTAACTTTCAAGCTAAGATGAAGGAAAAGTCCTTCGAGTGATTCAGAAAAATGGAAATTCAAACAGAAAAGCTGCTAATGATCATGCAATACCACCTTTATTTTTATATAAAAAGCTGCACTGCACTGTTCATTTAGTAAATTAATTTAAAATGCTGCTGGGAAACGGCACCGAAGCACCACACCAGGAGAAAAGTGCAGCTTATTTTTCCCCGTAAGCCCCATGAGGATGCTATAATTCACAGCTATTAATATGAAAACAGCGAAGGAGCGAGCGTTCACCTGTGCTGTTGGGAGTCGGGGTCTGCAAACTGCCCATCACTGTGACGACGGGACCAACAGGTAACGTGGAGGGTCGTTGGTCTGATTTACACACCTGAGAAGCGTCTTTGGCAGAAAAGAGAAAGCAGGTGAGTAAAGGAGGCGTCGAAAAGCCGGCGTCTCGTCGCCCCACGTGTGACGAGGAGACGATGCAGACTGAGGCCTGGGCTGTGAGGGGGGATTACACGGTCTATCAGGAGGCCCGAATTAGACTGGCCTACTTTGCAGCGTTCATTTTTCACAGCATTTTTTAAACCGTCTAGTCATAGCCATGTGACCAAAATAGCCACAAAAAAAAGAATGTCGTCACATCTTAGTCATGCCGCGGGATTAAATCCAGTCAATTATTTACTGGCGAATGCGACTTAAAATGTAATCAGACTGAAGAACAAGAATCTGCTTCGACAGCTGAGCATTAATACATTCATTTTTAGGGAGAATCATGAAATAATAATCGTGGATATCACGTTGCTGGACCCTGCTGGTGGTATTCAATAACCAGGAAGCTAAACGATATCAGTTTACGCTCAAACACTGAAGGAACGTTCCGGATATTTATCAAAACCGATGGTAAAACTAGAACTTGCTTCAGGTTACACGATGAAACGTGAAGATTTAAGATGCTGCCGACGCATCGGAGTCGGGATAAACGGTGGAGGAAAAAAAGAATAAATAATAAATTTGTTGGAAATATCCGTACGGACGTCAGCGTGCTGCAGAGGAGGTGGAGGTCTGAACAACAGGGGGAGGTGTTGTCAGCTGACAGGATGTTATAAAACCCAAACAACGGCTCTGGATGATGCAGAACCTTCACCACAGACTGTATATGAGGATTAAAGCAACCATGCCAACTTGAGAATGACTCAAACTGACCCTGAACCGGACTGGGGCTCAGGATTTCAGGTTAGCGAGGTAACTTTAATCCAGCTATAAGATCGCTTCCTCAATTACTCATAACTTATGCCTCACATATCCTGGTCTGGAGCAGATTCTGTTTAAGATAACTCATCTACTGATGCACCAGTTTTCTTTGGAAAGAGCATCATCGTTCCTGTAAGATCCCGTAATGCTTCAATAGAGGAAACAACTCTTAGGAGGACAAGAGTTTTTAGAGCTGCAAGCACATTTCCAGACCATTTCATAGTTTTATAGGCGTTTTGTGCAACAATATCGTCCTAAAACAGAGACTAATAAAGCACTAAAGCACTTGTTGGCCTTACAGGGTTTGCAGTAAACCTACTTATTGGTTTGAATCATGTTTTTATGTTCAGGTCTCCAGAAAAGATCGAACGCCGCTGCTGAAAGAGACTTAGACGTCATATTAATTACATGTAACGTGAGATTACTGAATTCATCCCCCACATTACCAAGACAGTGGTTGGATTTTAATTACTTGATTATATATTCTTTAAATAATTTTTGTTTTGTCCAGAACATAATGAGCCCAGATCTGGCTGCAAACTGATAAATAAGCCAAATCTTAAATCTTGTGTAAGAAACCTACAACTAAGCAACTTATACAGCATTTAAATTAAACTGTGCATTAAATAAGGCAGAGATGCTGATGAGCCTATCAACCAACATTTTGCTTTTTTCTTTTTCAGCTTTTCTTCATGGTTTGACTGCAGCAGCTGTGATGCTTTTAGTCTGTATCACATTTTAAAACTCCTCATACTGGTTTGAGATTAAATCTAGTTTTATTCCTTAGTAATATGCGGCTCCACACCTGTCCATTAAAATCCAGCTTAAGAAACCTTGACTTGAGTTACTGACTTGATCACCAGACTCATGTGACTGCAGTCGTTCGGTTTAGTGAAGCCAGACAATAAAAAGATTTCCTGTGTACGATGAAGTTCTACTAAAGACCTCAGCAGCGCCGATCAAGGCAGGCAAGCATAATCCTACTTAATATCTACATAATTAGGGAATTACTCTTAAAATAATCACCTGCTCTCTGACGGCGTCTCAGCGACTTGTGGAAAAACCGACTCAGGATTTAATGAGACAAGTTTTTGGAGTCAGTACATCAGTACATCTATCAGAAACTCTGCTCGGCTAGAAGACAATCCTGGCATCAAAACGTAGGTTAAACTGAGATCTTTAATGTGCTGTAACTTGTTCTGACCAACCACCATCACATATGCTGATAAAATTTAAAGTTTTCTCTGGTGGATGATCAGAAACCAGAAACACATCCAGGGTACCGGTGATTGTTTCTATCACATGCTGCAGTTTAGCTGTTGAAACTATGACACGTCCCAAAACATTGATGTTCAAAGGAATAAAAAATGGGCTGAACAAGTGGAGATTTAGTCTTTAGATTGAGACACCTGTAGTGGATGTAAAGTTGGTTTTCATGCGTCTATCTGTTGGACTTATGAGGCTTAAAAATGCAAAAATTCTGTGTTTCAATGGTCTGTAAGTGAAAACATTTATAGTATGAAGGCAAAATGTTGCACGACTTCATTAAACACACTAAAGTTATTGTAAATAAAAAATATCTGATTCTGAGGAGGTCGGGTGGAAACTAATTTTCAGGTTTGTTTGATTTTAAATGGACTGATAAAGACATCCGTAGTGACCCGTTTCAGGCTGTGGTTGTCGCCGCTCGCTCTCTGCACATTAACCACATGAACACTTGTAAACAAGGTGAGGAGGAGGAGGAGGAGGAAGAAGAGGGCGTCTGGTACCTGTGGGTAGTGTGGTCTGCGTTGGCATTGTGGTGTTGACTACAGGAGTGTCCAGAGGGGGCTGGTAGATCCCATCCACTGGGTTGATGGTGCTCTGGAGACAACGAACAAAGAACAACAGCGGCGTGAGAAGGACAGAAAGGCCCGGCTGAGCCGACACCTGCTGCACACCCGGACCACTGCCTGCTTACTAAATGGAAACGCTGTCGAACAGAATCAGCCTCAGTCTTTGTTTGTAAACCGTCGACTTATTTTTGAACACAACAAGCCTATTTTGGCATCTAGACTCAAGTTCTGACACGTTAACCACAAGGAAATACGAGTTCTTTTAGCATCCGAGCCAGCGGAGAGCTCGGCACACCTATGAACACTAAACTGACATGTGCGCCACCCAGCCTGTACAGATCAATTCCTTTAACATGATCGATGTAAAAACCGATCATGACACCAGCAGCAGCAGCAGCAGCAGCAGCTCTACACAATAAGCAGCTCCGTCGCTTGAACTCTGAGCTTTGTTCTGGGCTAAAAGGAGTTAATTAACTCCACCGGGCTGCTTTCTAAGTCCGCTGTGAAAAACCCAACTGGGATTTATCCGCTGCCCTCATCGGTGCCGATTTGAATAAAGGTGTAAACACACACACACACACACACACACACACACACCCACACACACCCACACACACATACAGACACACCCACACACACACACACACACATATAAATAAATAAAAAGCAGCAGCCTGATGGTTTCGTGTAATGGGGTCACCGGCGCCGATGACCCGACTGACAGCAACACGACAACAACGCGAGCTAAAGCAAAACCTATCGACCCTTTTGCCCCCCACCCCCCACAACAACTTACCCCGAGGGCTCCTGGCAGCACTGAACTGACATCTAGTCTCTCTGATGTGTTATCCTGTTACTCAAACTTCGCCTGCAGTTCTTTTGTTTTTTTTTCTTTTTTCCAGTGAACGTTCTTGACATCATTTGAGATTAACAGGAACAGACACGGTGAGTCACTGCAGTGACTTGAGCCCAACGACAGGACGAGGTAGACGTGTCGTGTGAGGTTAGTGTTCAGAACGGACATTTTCCTCTACGGGAATGACTCTCTGGTGTCGTTTCTTTGTGTTTCTACGTCACCAAAACGGCCATGAAAGAAAGGTCACTGTGATCAGAAGAATCACAGAAACTTCCCGTCTTCAGACTCCCTGCCTTCTACCTCCGCTCGCCTCTCCGTCCACGTGCCTTCGCAAAAGTAAGTCGAGGACTACTAATTATAGCCAGAACTACTGGTGTGTCATGGTGGGACCGGCCCGGTGGAGACCAAGATGGGAAGAGAGGCAGCTGGGAATCAGGAAAGTTTTCACTTTAAACACTGGAATGTAATATTAATGAATGACAGCACGTGGATTATTTTGAAATCCTTCCTGTGTGCTGGGTTTAAATTATTCCTACACTTCACGGCCGGCTCCATCCCACATGCTGCTGGTGTTTAAAGCATTAAAAACAAAAGGTCTGCAGCGCGTTGATCGCCTGCTCCACATTATAGGCAACGTGACGGACGTTCAGAGGCTCCAAAGCCGCAAATATATCTTGAGCGGAGAGGCTCGCGGCATATAAACACACGTGCAGTTATATGCGCAGACAGAGCTTATGCTGTGCTTAATGCTGTACTTAATGACGGCCAGATTAAGTCAGCCATAAGAGCAGCGCAGCCCCGCGAGCCGTCCGGCCTCCCGCTGGGATTCTTGCTTCAAGAGCCACGCTGGAGGCTCTCTACGCGCCGGACCATTATCCACCAACCATTCACGTTACCACATTATCCGGCATCTTCCAAAGCAGGCCGAGAGGTTTCGCATCGATTTCTCTCCTGCCCAGGTAGCTGCCGGGTTCTTGTTTGATGCTCTGATCTCTGGGTGCTCGTTTCGTTTGCCCTTCGGCCTTCGCTTTTCTGTCTCCTCTCATTTCCAGGCAAACTTTAGTTCCTCCCACCAGTATTTTTTCCTTAATAACGGATCTAGAATCGAAACGCTGCATTTACAAACTATGTTGTCAGGAAAACAAACCTGAAACTAGAGTGGAATAGGCGACATTAACCTCCATGAACATTACAACACGAGTTTGGCCGTGTGTTTAAAGTTTATTGTTTGACTCCTCACTCTGAAATCTGAGGTTTCTGCTTTGCCACGTGACTGAAGCCCCTTTCACACCTGCACGACTTTCTGGCAGCATCTGAACGTGTCGGCTTCATATTTGAATGAACTCCTTGCTCACTTTCTCTTACTGGGTTGGACCGGGTAACATTTTGCTTTCAATACGAGTGTGAACTGCATAAAACCTCCAGCCAATAAAACACAAAATGCAATGTACAATATGCAATATTAATACCACTGTTGTTCTGATCCACTCTACCTCAATAAGATCCCTCCATTATGTGCACACGTACAATCATCCTGTGAATGTATGTAAATATCCAATATCTCATGCAATACTTTTCAAATCTTGCATTTCTTTTTTAAAAATATATTTATCCTTATTTATATTTTATATTTTTACTGAGCAACTTTGCACTTTATCTCTTACTTGCACTGTAAGTAGGACAAGCTCTATAATGACAATAAAGTCCATTCATTCATCATCACATTAACACACAACTGACTTTACTTGTAGTTGTGTGATGCGATTAAAGGACGAATTTTTCCACATTTCAACACCGTGTTCAATTTGCTGCCAAAATAAGCTTTGCTCTACAGTTGTGCATCTATTACGAACCTAAACTCCATAAAAATAAAACGTTGCTGCGATGAAAACAGACGCGAGCAGCTCAGATCAAACACTGACGAGGAAACCTGAACAGGAGCTGAGTTCAGTTGTTGCTGCTAGCAGGAGTTTTTCCTCTGAGTTTATTAAACAGCAGCAGGATTTTTCTTAACTTGCTTATAATTATAATCGATCACCAGCGTGGAGACGGGATGAATTGGGATCTAACTGGGCCAGGGACAGGTGAGCGGTCGCACAGAGCTGCAGGTAAATCAGCAGTTACAGCGGTTACTGTTGGTAAAGTTAGATAAACCAGGCTGTTAGTTATTTAGTTCAGATTTAGTCTTCTGCTTGTTGTTGCATTATTATGTTTTACACATTGCTTATTGTTCTCTGTAATCCTGTATGAATGACAAATAACTTTCTGTCACTGTGGTATCTGAATGAAGCCGTGAGCAAAACCAACATAAAAGTGATGTATGTTTGAACGACAGAACGGCGTCGCTTTAACAGATTGATGTGACTTATCTCGTGTCTGAAAAGGGCTCAAGTCTGTGACTGATTATCCATCTACTTCAGCTTTATAGTCACAAGATATCGGGAGGAATAAAAAAACAAATGCTGCCTGTGTGGTGAGAAATCAATCCAAAACCCAGCAGTGAAAGCTTTGAAAGATGCCTGTCGTCAACGTAAAAGCACACGTGTGCTGGTGGAAGCATGCATAACCTCCTGGCGTGTCCTTCAGCGCGAACACGGAGCACCTGCAGAGCCTCCACGGCGCTCTCTGCATGGCTTTACAGCTATTAGTGGCGAGCGGTTCGATAAGCAGGCAGTGTGTGCACGACAGATCGATGGTGAATTAGTGGAGTCTGATTAGTGGGTGAAGTGATGTGCAACATGTGCAGGCATGCAAACGCACATGTACGGTCCACGTATGTGCGTTTGGCGGCACAAAGACTTTGTGTCTCGATGAAGGACAGAATAGTTCCCAACCACTGCTGAAAACTTTGAATCCCAGGTGAAATCAGGAAAGTATTAATTTAATCAGGAGGAGAGAAGTGGCAGAAATGAGGGGAAAGAGCTCGAGATAAGAGTTTATCTCCAAATTAGACGGCATGCACTAACACAGGTCGGATTTACACCGCTTCTCTACATACAGGAGGGAGTCAATTAAGCAAGAAAAGAAAGTTAGCAGTTTCTTTGATTTTGTAAAAAATAAAAAATAAAAAAAAGTTTTTGTCATGGACAAAAAGTGTCAAACTTACTATAAGTCCGTTTGCGTGTTGCTGTTCGTTACTTTGGTCCTTAAAATTTTAAGAAGACAGCGTTAGACTGCTTGTGTGGGAAGAGTCATTTCACAAAGCATCCTGAGCATCCGCGGTGCAGAGAGCAATGTGGTCCATCCCTCTCATCACATGGAGCTTCATCACATCCCCCCAGCTTGCCACATGCAGTGCTCCTTTCATCACACGGTAAAATCCTCATCGCTCTCGTGATCGAAAAAAAGAACAAGATTGCAGAACAAACTAAAAAAAACAACCACCTTACATCGAAAGTGAGAGTTTTAGGTTTAAAACAGAAAAAGGGCAACAAGTGCCACCTCACAGCCACATGAAGCAGAAACGATTGCTCCACTTCCTTTCAGAGAGCTAAATGGAACATGTGATGAAACGAGCACTGGGCGACACCCTCGTCGTCAACCGCCGACCCAGATAGCAACTGTAAGCAGGGAACTACCCCGGGGACGCAAGGTAACACACAGTGCATGTGGTCTCACAAGAACAATGATTATGGAGAGAGATGGCACACCAAAACTGCAGAGAGAGAGAGAAATCGGGCATGCAAAGAGTCTGGGTTTACCTTGGCGATCTGCAGCAGTACAATACAGTGCTTGATGGACTCTACCATACTCTGAAAAACACAAAGACACTCATTAACTCAGCTGGACTTGATGCTCTTAAACCAAAAGTCAGGAAGGAAAACGAGCTAAAGTTTGACTTACACAAGTAGTCTCCTTCAAATTCTCAATTTTCTGCCAAAAAAACAGAAAACAGGCTGTCAGATTAAAGAGTAATTTAAAAACCAAGTAGAAAACATCAAGGTACTCGTGTATAACAGCAGCTTTTCTGTTTTATTTCCCCCCCTTTAAATCTACAAGATTGAAAAAAAAAAAAAAAAAAAGCTGTGGTGAAGATCAAGAAGTGACCAAAAGCTGTTAAAAGCAGAGAGGAAGTGCACACAGTCATACAGCAGCTGGTGAAAAACACAAAAGGCCACCGAGACGCCCTGAAACTCAACCGCTTCCTCCAACAAAACCAAACACCTCTTTCACTCGGCTAATTATAAGCTACAAAAACACCTACTTAGTGGACCAAAGGGCCCAGAGAAGTCAGTTGATGCCATTTCAGATTGCAGAGCTGCTGCATTGTCTCATCTGTTCAGTTTGCTTATTCGTCATCAAGCCTTGTGTGTGTGAAGTGTGTTGAATTATCCTCAGTTCAGTGCTTATTTCAGGTATATAGTGTCTATGGGAACAGGCAAAATAAGCCTTTTATGTTGGTAAATTTCACAATGATGACAAAATGGAAGCAACTCACAGCGTTGCACAAGCATGAACACCAGTTTCAGTTTCCTACTAATGTCAACATTTTGTCAAAATAGCAAAAAACTGGACTCTTATCTTGCCCTACATCAAATCCTACTGGTGCTAGAAGCCTCAAAAGTTGGTGAAATGTCAACCAAAGGCTGTATTTTTAGTAGAAAATATGGAAACACCCAATAATAAACATTTAAAGGAACTTTCTGGGGTCCCCTTGTGCGAATATGTTGCACTTTTCTCCATTTTTCAAGGGAGAATAATTAAAAGTTTGGCCTCTGCTGGAGTAATTTAATTATCTGTATCTGCTGGAAACAGTTCTGTCCGTGTCCTCGCCAAATTGCATGGCTGCCAGAGGTTTATTTACATTGATAATAAACCCCAAATATGGCTTTGCAGGGAAAAAGCTTTGTTGAGGGTAAAAAACAAATAAAATAAAATAAAATAAAATAAAATAAAATAAAATAAAATAAAATCCAGGTCTGAACATATGAAATTCCCAAAATTCTGAAAAACACATTTTGCAGAAATAGAAAATAAGCAAACAAAATCTGAGATGTTTTACATTGACATAAACATGAATCAGCAACTAGTCTGGTTTGAATTTTAATCCCTCGTAAAACAAAAACACCAAAACTTTTCCAGTTCCGGCCTCTTAATGTGAGGATGTGCTGCTTTCCTCTGTTTTGTATCATTAAAACCTGAATGTGTTTGGCTTTAAAACAATTAACTCGTTAATTGATAATGAAAATAATCATTAGATCAAAGATCGATGGAACATTTATGGTGCAGCTGAACGTGTGTCCGTCTGCATGTACCAGACACATGAATACTGTCTGTATGATGAAGTGATATTGTGTTTGGTTAGCTTGTCAAATGCTAACAGGCGAGTCATCCTGTTGCATCCCTTTCTGAGTCAGTGCACTTTGAGAACACACTTAGAGCTGACAAGCAGCAGAATTCACACATCTGCAGCTTAGCCGCCCTGCTTCATCGCTGCGGCTCTGACGACAGCGGACCGGAGAGCGGAGACACGAGGACGGCGTGGCGTCGCTGCTACTCACCCTGCGTGATTCATCCTCTTTGCAGTCCTTGATCTTCTCATCAAACAGCTGTGTGAGGACAAGACATGAACAAGGGGGACAGATGGAAACATGAGCTCAGACGATGTGAGTACGCAAAGGATCAGGAGGCGAATGTGCTCAGAAGACGAGGCTCGAGGTAAAGTGGTGGCGAGAATTAGAAGAGTTTTCATCGTATTTGGCCTCGATACGCGTCTTTAAAAATGCAGCGTTCTGCTTTGTCACTGTTCCACAAATCTCATCTTTAACTTCTGCTTTGCTAAAGAGCACAAAGAAGGAGGCGGTGACACAGATTTGATTAGAAGCCACGCTGTGGGTTAATATGCAGATTTGGAATTAATGCACAGACAAATTTAATTTAGAGTCAATAGTAGATGCAAATCTTTTAAACTCTATTTTTGTGGACTAACATAAAGATTTACAAATTAATGTACAGATTTAGGTTGAATTTTAGGTGCAAATCTTTCAAATTGAGTCTTTTTTAAAATATATTTTTGTGGATTAATGCACAGATTTAGAAATAATGTCCAGATTTAGATTGGATTTTAGGTGCAAATCTTTCAAATTGACGAAATCTATTTCTATTTTTGTGGACTAATATAAAGATGTAGAACCAATGTACAGATAGAGGGTAAAGTTTAGGTGAATATTTTTCAAATTGGCCACAATTTATTCTATTTTTGTGGATTATGCTGCAGATTTAGGTTGAATTTTAGGTGCGAATCTTTCAAATTGACTAAATTTATTTCTATTTTTGTGGATTAATTTGCAGATTTAGGTTGAATTTAAGCTGCAAATCTTTCAAATTGATCATATATCTTTATATTTTCGTGGATTAATGTACGGATTTAGAATTAATGTTCAGATTTAGGGCAAATTTATGTGCAAATCTTTCAAATTCTTTTGAAATTGTGGATTATTGTACAGATTTAGAATTTCTGTACAGATTTAGGTTGAATTTTAGATGCAAATCTTTCAAGTTGACGAGATTTATTTCTATTCTTGTGGACTCACATAAAGATGTAGAATTAATGTACAGATACAGAGGAAATTTCAGGTGAACATTTTTCAAATTGACCGCAATTTTTTCTATTTTTGTGGATTCATTTGCAGATTTAGGTTGAATTTTAGGTGCAAATCTTTCAAATTGACTCTAATTCTTTATATTTTTGTGGGCTAACGTACGGATTTAGAATTAATGTTCAGATTTGAGGTAAATTTTTGGTGCAAATCTTTCAAACTGACAACATTTCTTTCCATTTTAAGCCGTACATGTTAAAGTGAGCCATCAAAAGTGAAGCAAACCAGCTGATTCGACGGTGCCGCCGAGTCCTACCTTTAACTGGTCAATCAGTATCTGCAGGTAGGCGTCAGCTTCGGCGAGCTTCTTGTCAAAGTCTTGAACGCTCGGAACGAATCCTGTCTCGGCCTCCTGGAGACGAGAAAACAAACGAAGCTGAGCGTTAGTGCAACTCCGACCAGATCCCCGACCGGAGCCGCGCTGCTGTTTGCATATTAAAAGCAAAACAGGCCGATATTATCCATTCATAAATAAACGGCTCGTCTCCATCACCTCCCGGCCAGGTCGGCTTTGTGAAACTGCTACACAAAATGGTGGACAGAAGCATCAACAGTCCAGGAGAATCTTCCAGCATCGTACTGTACCGGTGGGAGATATGAATACTATTGTGTGAAGGCTGCATGAAAGGCCAGCAGGTCTGTCTGCCTCAGCGCCTGACTGGAGGCCAACGCATTTCAGGCTGCAACAAAACTAAATCGGGAAACTCAAGGCTGCAGAGAGTTTAGCTACAGACGGAGGACAGTCAGTGTGTGTAGATGGAGCTGAGGTGCAATCAGATTCAGTGTTTGTTAATTAGCTTCCCTTAATAGCACCCACACACACACACACACACACACACACAGAGGCAGAACCGAACATTTCATTACATAATACCCATTAAAAGGTAATTACTAGAGTATTGACAGAACAGACGTGACCGGGCATCTGTCTCTATCTGTCTGAGCTCACCCGGAACAATCCAGTTGGCCGCGACACAAAACCCAAAACAGGCAGACGAGTGATAAACACGCAGGCAAGACCTCCTTCGAAAATCAGCCTGTCGATGGCAAGGACGCTGGGCACCGGTGACAGCACAATAACCCCTCTACGTCAAGCCAGACGACTCAGCAGATGACTAACGCGGCGCGTGTCATTGCAATTTATTGCTACATAGCAGTTAGTCTGACATGGAAAAACACAGAACAACACCTCTTATAAATGGGAAAAAAGACGCTGAAAATGAAATCAACTACGACCTCCTCCTGTTAGTAAATGAAGCTCTTATCAGACCCTGTGTTTGGCTGCTGCTGCTGTCTGGGATTTGCTGCGTCGCATTGTCCTGTTGCGTCCCGAGCTCCAGGCGCCTTTTCTTCCTGCTAAAGACGGTTTCATAGGAATGTGGAGAAAAGCCATTAACCCCGAGCCAAACGCGGTGGGGACCTGCTAAAGTTTAAACCGTATAAAAAAAACACTTTATAGAGAACAAAGTCTGTGTCAAGTCAGCAGCCATGAAACCTCCAGCTAACGGGGCAAACTTCCTCCAAGGATCAAAGGTGCTTTCGCTGTCAGCGTGACTCCTAAAAAACACAGAGCTGGCCACACAAAAGCCTGAGCAAAAAATCTGAATAATGCTGTGCAAGTCTACGTACTGTGTCCTTGTTTTTGGGTTGGAAGTGAAATAAAAAACGTGCCGTCTGGTCACTCGCTGCACTCAGACATTCAGAAGAGCTGTTATCTTTCTAGTTAGACATGAAATCCTGATAATTTTTAACTCAAGATGCCAAAAACTCAAAGCCAAATACCGGTAGTGCACTCAAGAAACCCCACAACTATGTGATACAGTCCACTGCTAAAATATAGTGTTAGACTCAGTGTATGAAAACTGTGATATGTTTTGGGAATATCCAGATTATAGCAGCTGTTTGCTAAAAGGTCAAATGTGTGAGCCACAGAGATGCACCGGCCTCCAAATCCTGCTCTGTGGACATATGGGAAGGCGCTTTTTTTGGTTGAGACTGCAGCAAAAATGTTTGTTTCAGTGTCAAAAACAAACGCAAAACTTCTCGCCAAAACAGTGACTCCTTTAGCAAAATAAATTGCAATGCGATTGTTTTTGCACATCATTCAGGCCCAAAGAAGACGAAAAGAGCAGAATAACAACCTGATATGCACGTAGAAAAAGTAAGAAGACCCAGGCTGCAAAGTTAATCGAAATATCATCGGATCTGCAAAGTGCAAAGAGCTGCAGATTTTCTGATAAATGCAAAATGTGTCACAGCACACCGCTATAAATGATGCATTGTGCTGCTGCAGAAATGCACCGGCCTGCAAAATGTGCAGACTGCAGCGAAGATCACATTAAATAATAAAAAACACTCTGGCTAAAACTGTGACTCAGTAAACAGCGACGGTGACATGTCATCTACTGGCGATAAATCAGACGTGTTTATATTTCAGGCCTGAGATAAGAAGCTAAGCTGCAGCAGGAACATGCAGCTGATACGGAGGCAAAACAGGAGCAAAAAAACAACACAAAACCAAACCAGACAACCCCCTATTATTACGATATGTCGTGTTTTGTCAACACACAATACTGGAGGGGAAGACGGAGCAGATAAGTTTGGAAAGCGGAAGGTCCGAGGCAGGTGCTGGGTTTATAAACAGCCGCCGCGAGGCCACGTCATGCTGCTTCCAGAAATGTTCCCAGACGTCTGCGCCTCCGCTCCCACTCACTCCCTTCTGCATCCCTGTCACACGGTGGGAATAATTCAGCAGCAAAGTCTCACACATGAGCCTCCGAAGCAGCCCAGACTCTCCAAACAACGCTGCCTCCCTCCTCTCCCCTCCTCTCCCCTCCCTCCCCCATCTATTTGTCTTTCCACACAGTGTGACCCACTTTAAAATGCTGCTGCCCCAGCGGCGCACTGCAGCCGTTAAACTTCTCCCAGCGATGCTGCAGTGGCGTTTTGTTGTGCTTGTTTATGTGTGTGTTTTACTTACTGGGTGCCTCGCTCCAATGGACATGCTGCATTAAACCCTGCACATCTCTCAGGCCGTTCACGCAGCCTGACACAAGATCTCTGTCTCCATTACTCAGTCTTTTCCTCCCCACAGCAACAAACCACCAGCTTTAGTGAAGTTAGCATTCTTTCCTCCTCCTCCTCCTTCTCCTCCTCCAGGCAGAAAACAATCCCCTCCTCTCGCTCTCTGCTGCCAAAGTAAACCACAGCAGCCCTCAGACTGTGTGCTGGCCGAGCCTCCAGTATATCCTTCAGTTATCAGCTGAGCGCTCGGTGCGAGGCGGACGAGTTAATCCGGGACCCTCCCCTGGCAGGAAAGGCACACTTCCTCTCGCGCAGAGCAGAGCAGAGCAGACGAGAAAACACACAAAGCAGCAGCAGCGAGGGCTGACGGCAGCGAGCAGCAACGGTCGCTCCGATTGGCCGAGGCGGCGGGGGCAGATGTTTGGCTGATCGAGCAAGCCGGCCCGTGGTTGGGCGGCGGGGGAGTCACGTGACGCTACGACAGCGGCGCGCTAACACTGCATAAGTGCGTGTATGTGTGCAAGCAGGCACACGTAGCACATCAGAAGGATTTGCCACAGAGGGAGGGAGGAACAAGGAGGGAGGGGGGGAGAGGAGAATGAAAAGGTTGCTTATGAGGATGAAGGAGTGCATGGAGAGGATGATGATGGGAGGGAACAAGAAGGAAGGTTTGCTTTAGGGGAGGAGAGGCAAGGAAAGAGAGCAGAGACATAAACATGAGTGGAAAAATAAAAAACCACCAGCAGGTCAGCAGTTAAACAGACTTTCCACTAAAGTGAACAAACCCCTGGCTCCGGTACCAGCCCAAACTCCTCCATGTATGACGGCACTAACGTCACCAGACAAAACACAGGCTGTGCTACCAGACCCAATGCAGAGTACATTAAACACCAGATTATTCTACTACATTATGCTCTTCTGGCCGTTTCCATCCACAATCCTCTGCACTGTCACACACTCTTCTCATTCCTAAGTTCCTCGACTCCTTTCCTTGAGGAGAAAGGAGACACCCTCGCCTCGGAGTTGTCACGTCGGTTTAATACGACACAAGCTGCATCATCTGTTTGCCGTTTGGTGACGCGGCACAGCTGCGTTTTATGATCCGTCACATGGTGAGAACATACAATATAAACTAAAAGAGGCACAGCAGACGAAGCAGCACCTTATAAATAAACACTGAGGAATATTATAACTGAATGATATATATATCGTACAGATTTGTGAGTCCTGCTCCTGACATGGTTTGTGTATTTTATGTGTCGGGGGCCGAAAACAACCGTCCTCGATTCTCAAGATGTGTTTTAGGAATCTAGACATCCTCAATAATGGAGAGACTGAGTTTAAACTAACTTGACTTGGCAAGAGACGCACCGACAGCTCAGCAGTCAAAGTTTAAGGCGCATTATTATGACGAGTCGTTCATCCCAGCTGTTTGTGACGCTACAGATGTTGTGAGGGCAGCTGCAGTCCATATGTAAATGAAAAAGTTTGAAGTTTGGAGATTATTGGGTTGCAGCATGTGGTAAAGTCAGCGGCTGCTTCTCTTTTAAATCACGTCACATCTGTTGACAGAATCAAAACTTGTCCAATCCTGTTCTATCACATTAGAAGGATTAAGACAAAGAGAGCATTTTACACTTTTAGGATTTATCCCAGACAGCAGCATTTTTACCTTCCTGAACCACAAACCTATTGATCGACTCCAGATTCCAGCTGTTTCGGCCTCTTTACACCGGCTCCAAGTATGTTTTGGGACAGATGTTAAGATTTTTCTAATTAATTTTAACGCTCTTCAAGGCCTCTCTCTATCTGATTTATATTTCTGACCTTTTAGCACCGTATGAAGCAGCACATGGAACGACTCTCGGCTCTGGAACGATGTGCACATCAGTCCGGAGAGGCTTGTGTGATTTTATCTGGGCTTTAATTTCCTTTGTGTTGCGCTTTCATGTGTCGTTTAAAATTCTAATGACTTTATTATTGTTTTGTTTTGCTGTAACTTGAATTTTGAAACAAATAAAGAATATTATTATGATTTCGGATGGTAATGATCAACCACACGCAACGATTTTGTGGATTTTGTTTAGCTAGCAAAGGGTCACCATGATAAAGACTTGTGTGGAGGTCAACAGCCTCTGATGCTCCAACGAGACCACGACACATCGTTAAACGTCCGCGGTTAAAGATGTGTGTGTGAGCGTATGAAATAATGTCTGTTGTGCGATTGATGGTTGACTGATTGATACCAATGATCAGAAAACTGCTTACAATTTGCATCCCTCATTATTATTATTTATACAGACCAGACTGATGACTCAAGTTTCAGCTGCTCTGTTGCACCACAAAAACAATAAATCAGGTGAAGCTTAAACACCTGATATGCAAAGTCATCACATGAGCGTTACCACATCATCTAAATGTGGAGACTATGCAAATGCTGACAATCTGAAGCTCAATATAAACTCTCACAGTGGAAGCTCTCACGTCTAGGGACCATAATTGGCTCACCGATCCTCTTTTTTGACTTTATTTATACTTCTCAGGTATTACAAGGAACCACTGTGTTTACTTTGGAAGGTAGATGGTAAACAGTTAAAGTACAAACACAGGAATCAGCATAAACAGACAGAAAAACATCCAGGAGCCCCAAAGCAAAACGGCTTCTTCTTCTGCTTCTTCTTTTTTTCCAACCGTGCTGGACAGACTACAGACGCTGACAGAGGAACGAGAGGCTGGCTACGTACCCGGAGCTGGAGGGTGTGACGGAGGATGGTTCCCTCTAAGGCGTGGATCCACTTCTCCCGCTCGTCTGCATCGCGAGCTGAAAGGCAGAAGAGACGGACACACCCAGTGAGCCGTGTTTTCCATGCAGACATCAGCACGTGTTGCACATCACGACACCAGAACACCGACATGACATGAGCGATGGAGACGCTGTGGACGCTGTGTTTTCATAAACAGACGGCGGTTTGCTCCTAAAACAGCTCAACTAATCAATATGCACGGGCTGGAGCTGTGTGTTTGAACAGCCTGGTTTATAGTTTGGAGCTCACAAGCACAAAATAGCACAAATTATACTGTGTTTGTCTAATCCATACAAAATAAATAAATGGCACTCTCTTGGTTTTTTTTTAGGGGTTATTTTCATTTCATCACATCGAAAGTGTCTCTCAGTGATGATAAAACTACACAAGGTTAATACATCCAGCTCAGAGACAGTAAAGCACAAAAACCAGGTCAAAATTCACCTCCTGCTCAGACATTACCAGGAGTTAAACTCTGTTTTATACCCCACTATATTCTCCTCTAGTCCAGTTTAAACTCTGGGGTGTTACTTGAGCTACGTTATGTCTTAACTGTCTCTGAATTTACTGCTTCAGTTTTCATGGCATCACAATTGACAATAATCTGACATTAAGATCTCAACAATCCCATGAGTACAATTTCAAAAAACTACCAGGATTCAAGACAATATTTTCTGTGCATTAAAGACCAGAATCACAGAATTTATGTTGTTGTTGCTTTTTTTATAATAACATATCCTTTATGGGCATTTTTCAAATTTCTGAAACTTAGTAAACTCTGCGCTGTCTCAGTAAACTGTAAACATATATTGTATATATTTATGTTCCGCAGCAACACAGACGACAGCATCGTGTTGCCAATAAGCTTAATGTGATTAACCAATAATATTCCTGAAAAGTGGTACCTGTGATTGTGAAAAATAAATCTTCCCCTGTAACCAACTTGATGTTGACCTTCAATGTTATTTAAAAAAAAAATGTTATGTTTACATTAGAAAGAAACTCTGCAAACTGAAATACAGATGTATTTATGAAAAGCACAAAGTGGTATAATCTGGGGAATAAAGCAGCCTCGACTGTTGGTACACTTTGGCCAGACTATAACCCGGTGTACTCTGGTGGGGGTCGACCATCACCTGCGACACCTCTAAGAGTCTCCTTACAATCCTTATATCTGGCCAGAAAATCACAATGTTTGTTATTATTGTGCTTAAAAAGCATCTTTCAGCTGCTCTGCTGTACAGAGCGAGCATCTTTCACTGCAACATAAAGTCCTTCACCTCTATGGAAACAGAACAAGCATGAAGAAGAAGAGAGAACTCGTGCAAATTTCTTTGATTATTTACTTTAGAAAAACAGAAACAGCCTAAAATCAACATTTATAACATTTTTCCAAGTTCCCACTGGTGTTACTAATGCTGGAAATAAATGGTGACACTACATCCTATAGATATTTTACTACTTGTATTTTAAATGTGCTTCCATCCTCGCCTCCTCTCCGCTCTCTGCGTAAACACTTCCTGCAGTTCAGCCAAAAATTCTCTGAATTTTTGCCAAGTGACTGTTGGTCACAGCTGAGTCACTGACGGCTTCACAGTTGCGTGGGGGAGTGCAGAATTTTTATTTATTTATTTTTTATATTTTTTGCAGAATGTGATTTGTTCAAATGGTTAGTTTTTGGATATTTTTTTTATTTAGCTACGTAGTAAAATAAAAATCCGATAAAACATCACAATTCTAACCTAATTGTCCTGATATAACTGTACGTCATACACGATGAGTTCATGGACCATCAGAGAGCTGAACATTTGGTAGATTTTTCAGTTTCTGTCTCTGATGAATTGGGGCATTTAGGCGACTTTTTAAAGATGTTATTATCATATATTATTATTTTCTTTATTTCCTCCATCTCCTTTTACATTGTTTGAAAATTTGATCTATTTATTTATGCTTGTTTTTTTTATCCCTTTCTCTCTCTATATATATATACATAAAAATTCTCATCTATATATTTAGTCTTGTGTGTTTAATTCTTTATTTTTATTCATCATAATACTGTTTCGGTGTGGAGCAGGTACGCAAAGCATTTCATTGTGCATTATACTGTGTGTAACTGTGTTTGTGAACAATAAAGGCCTTGAATCCTTGAGATGTGTTCAGAGGGTAAAATACATGCTTTTAAATATCCAACCAAACATATAAGTACTGAGAGGCTGATCAAGCACTCAAAACATAAAAGTAGTGTCTCATATTGGGCTTTGATATTCAGCCTTGTGCATGACAGTAAATCAATACCGAAAAATCTAATTCTACTTCTATGACCGCTGTATAAATGCAGCGTTGAAGCTCCCTCAGCGTGGTGATGCAGTACTGATTTTCTGTTTTTTTTTTACATGGTGCCTTTAGGGTCAGGGTGTGAAATAGAGCAGGGAAAGGCTGCACCCACAGAGCAAAGACAGAGAACAAACAGACCTCCAGCAACATTAAACAGTGACCCAGCACAGGCTCTCTGG